AAAAGAAAAAAGAAAACCTTTAACTTTTGTGTTTGTTCTCTTCTCGCTCTTTTGAGAATTTTAACATGGGTCAAGAGTAATCCACTGTATCTCCCAAGGAAGTTTCCTGCACGTTCTAGCTAGGAGTAAGTAGCCCAATTTCACATACACGATTTATCTTTTGATTAGACTAATTAACTCAATTATCCCTTAAGAAATATTTTATTTATTTTCATTTTCATTTTAAAATTTCCTTGTGGGACCATCTCTTTTTCACTATAAATCCTTACATCCTGCCATAACACCAAGTCTATTGTCTATACTTTCTCCGTTCTATTCCCTCTCCTTCATTTTTTGCATATCCATTTGAACCAAGTAAAGATCAATATATACACCCTAAACTATATAATCCTTTTCTACTTCTTCAACATTTAGCCTAAAACTAAATCCCTTTCTTCTTTGCATCAAATCCCTTTTCAAGTTCACCTTTGCATTTGAATTACTTTTAGAAAAACTCCTTAAAAAAGGAAACAGAGAAAAATGGGAGTTGAAGGCACTCTGGAATACATATCTGACCTGCTAAGCAGTGTCAAGAAGAAGAAAAAGAAGAAGCAAATGACAACAGTAGCACTCAAAATTAGGATGGACTGCGAGGGTTGTGTTCGTAAGGTCAAGAATGTTCTCTGCGGTGTCAAAGGTATATAATTACTATTTCTTCTTCTTCTTCATCTAGAACGTCCTTTTTTCTTTTTTACGAATCAAAACAACAGAGAACTGAATCTGTTCACGATAACAAAGACCTCTGCCAGTTACAATATCGTAGCCGCGTATAATTATTAATTTAGTAATGTAACTTGAATTGAGTTTTTTGTGTTTAATTTCTGCAGGAGCTAAATCAGTGGATGTGGACTTGAAGCAGCAGAAAGCAACGGTGACGGGGTTTGTGGAGGCGAAGAAAGTGCTGGCGGCGGCAAAGACAACGAAAAAGAAGGTGGAGCTGTGGCCGTACGTGCCCTACAACCTGGTGGCAAACCCTTACGTTTCTCAAGCTTATGACAAGAAGGCACCTCCAAATCATGTTAGGAGAGTTCCGGCCACTGCCATCATCACCGAGACCACCATGGACGACCGCTACACCACCATGTTCAGCGATGAGAACCCCAATGCCTGCTCCATCATGTAAATGAACAGTACTAGAGTACTATATATATTGTACTTTGAATTTCGTTATAAATATCATGCATTTAATGTTGATTGTTTGAAGTAAATTTACGTGGAGAGTTTGTGGTGGAAATGCAGCTGTATATTTATGAAAATGGACAGTAGTGTGGGCTGTTGTGAGACAACATTGATGATAATGAGATTCATCCTTGATGTTAAGATTTTCCTCTCGTATGTTGCTGGGGTTATTGACATTGCCTAGCTAGGCTAGCTTTCAATGACTCTGTAATTTTCAATTATAGCATATTACTATTGTTTACTATAAGTTCGTGCGATCGTTTAAGTTTAATAACTTATTAAACGCATTGATATGTAATTGTTATTTTAAAGTATAAGTAAGTTGATTTGAAAACATTATAGTTGCATAAACAAAGAGAATGGTATAATTTAGTCTAAAAGGTAAGTTAAATAAAATTGGATATTTATCATTTTAATCCAAGTTCATATGCAAAATTTATTGCTTTTTTGTTAAACAAAAAATATAACATTATTACAGTGGGAGTGTCAATTGGGGTGCGTTTGAAGAAGCAAAAAATCAATTTGAAGAGCTTTGATTTGTTAGTTTTAGTCGCTATGTGTATGCATGGTAATTGAACGCTACAAGAGAAGGCTGCTGATATAAAGAGAAAGGAATTTTTTTTTTTCCCTTTTAAAAAAGTTTTTCCCTTTAACAAGATTCTTTACATAAACATATGACATTTCTTCATTGCCTGCTATGAGGCTAGACAGACCGGTAAAAATAGAAAATGGATAATCATAACCTGTCCTGTTTTCCTTAAATAGGAAAAGGAGGATAAAAATTAATTTTGGTCACATAATTTAGTTTTTCTTGCAATATATTGGAGATTTTAGTCTCTAATAAATGGATATTTATTTTTAAAAAAGTGTTACATAATCAGTATTGTACAATTTTAAACCATGATATTAAAAGTTTTCATCTCATTTAATAATTCTTGTTTTGCAATGTTAAATTCAAATGATAAAACAAAAGGCTATCTGTTTTTTAATATCATTATCAAGATTTTTTAATATTAGGAGATAAACAGTTGACCAGTTTGTAAATTATGATGTCTCGTTTTGAAGAAAAGGTAGGAGACTGTGAGTTAAAGTTCAAATTGAGATGATGCATGAGGTGAGTAAAGAAAATGAATGTATTAACCTAGTTACTCAATCAGCAATAGTTCTACTTCTTTTTTGTAAGAAAAGTTTTATACGGGAATAGTCTCCCCTTTCCGGCCAGATCTATACGTACTCGTTTTAAGTTTCCTATCGTGAAAATTTTTACTTAAGTCTTAAACTCTTTCATATACATATATATTTCTTTTAAGGTTTTCGTTGAAAAAGTTAGTGTTTAGCTAATAATTTATCTGCAGGGTGCAAGAAACTTCTAGGCACCAGCATATGAAAAATTGTAATGGATAAGCTTGAAGAGCAAGGTTTATTTTATGGTTGTGGTGGTCCAGCATATATACCTTTTCTTTAACCAAATGCAGGAGGAGGGACAGGATTGAAAAACTGGAAAGGTATCTATGATATTGTGAATTTCTGAAGAATATCATGCCTACCTCACCCAATTACTGTCCTGGATCTCCAGAACTCACGTCATACTAGTAAGAAAATAATTTCCAAAACCGACCAAATTTGACAACTCTGCATTATCCAAACCTAGGATGGCGGTATTTCTCAATTCCTAAGGTTATTATTAAATTTCACCGACCTGTACGAAAGGTTTGAATCTGAGGATTAACAGTGTCATGTTCTAAATAACTAGTAAAAGTATTTGACATCCGACAAAATCCACTTACCGTGTTTCTGGAGATTTTTGTGTCCAAAACAAGGACACATGATAGAATGTCAAAGGTCGGCTGTTTTATACTCATATTTGATCGTTGGTACCAAAAAGAAAGAAAGAAAGAAAAAAAAGAAACTGCTAAAATAGAGAATAAATAAACTTTGGGTCATGGGTAACAGGTTCGGCTCACAATTGGATGGGAGGTATATGGGTTGGATTGGGTTGGGTTGGGTTGGATGGAAAAAGGATAATAAGAACATCCCGTTCATCTTTTTTAGGCACAGGGACTATCCATCCATCTTAGTTTGGACTACACCCAACATTATCAAGTCCATAATTGAAGATCACTAACATGGGCTGGGTTGTCACTTTTTGTTTTTTTACAAATATTAATTTTTTTATTCTTCTAAAAGTATAAATTGATCAATATTAAAAATATCATTTTGAATCTCCCACAAGACCATTACCCAAATATCCTTTTAAATAATTAATAACTATTAAATCAAAGTCTCCCTGTAGTATATAGAATTAAACTATTTGAATTAAAATTTAATTTAAGACAAGTCATATATGCAAAATTGATTACCTTTCGTAGTTGGTTAGAAATTCAAATCCTGATTGATGGGATATGAAGCACAGAGACTTGCCAACAAGACCTATAACAAAGAGATATCAAATATTAAACTCGGATGAGAGTTCCTAAGTTTTAGTACATTGATTCATGAATATTTGTACAGAGCCAATGTGCCACTGTTTTATTGACCATTGAATCCTCATTCAATCTATGACCTCTTCTTTTACAAAATCCTTCAATCTCTCAGTCTTAAAACCTCTCCTCCCACCCATTTTTAACCATCTCTCCCTCTCTTTCTGTCCTACCTAACAACCCTTCGTTTCAGCCTCATTTCATCCATGAATAGCCAATATATAGGAACCGCATCGGATTTTCTTCTTCTAAAAATAAAAGGGTTTTTGATTCCCTTTATTTCCTTCTTTATTTTTCAATCCTTTGTTTGTTTGGCGCAAAGATATAGGTGGGAGATCAAGCCAGATGGGTCGTGTTAAACTGGAGATTAAGAGAATAGAGAACAACACAAATCGGCAGGTTACCTTTTCAAAGCGTAGGAATGGACTCATTAAGAAAGCTTATGAGCTTTCCATCCTTTGTGACATTGATATTGCCCTCATCATGTTCTCTCCCTCCAGCCGTCTCAGTCATTTTTCTGGCAAGAGAAGGTGCAATACCGGCTTTCCTTACCCAGTTCATGTCCATGCATGCCCTCTATGTTTCTTTTATCATGGTTTTATCATGAACTCGCAATTCCTAAACTGTCATTGAAACAGAATGAGGTTATGCTTCCTACAGTATATGTCATATTGTCATTGACAATCATTAAAACATTAAATAAAACAATGTCAATACTAATAATTGCAATAAACTATATATGCTGATATTAGGGAAGAAATCTCTGTTTGGCATGCAAGAAAAGTACATGTCATGCATCGATAAGTTCAAGTTACTGGTTTCTTTTGACGTTCCTAAACTAACTCTGTTTTCATCTAATTCCTAACTGTAAGCCTGTAGATTAGGATCTTAATTTGACTAGTGCTAACACATAATTTCTGCTCTCGATGTTTAGGAGAATGCATACCCTGTTTCTGTATACGGGTATTTAATGATTCATGCATGAATTTTCCTTAAAATTTTCTATGACAATGTGTTTGTCTGATTATGCACATTTTTTTGACTAAATTTTTCTCCATTCTTTTAACATTTTGTTATTTCTTGACAATCTGCAGGATTGAAGATGTATTTACTCGCTATGTTAATCTTCCTGACCAAGAAAGAGAACAGTATGCTCTTAAATTTTAAGTTGTTTAACTTCATTATCAGCTTTTCGTTCCAATCAATCAGCATACTGATTTGCTAAATCCCCCATCACTTTTATCTGTTGCAGTGCTCTATTTTTCCCTGAACAAAGCAGACATCCGTATGTTCCTAAACTCTCAATTCCTTGAAAGCTTCTATGAAACTCTCCATGTCCTTTGTTTATGTTTCATCATTACTTTTATTGACAGAATAACTTATCTGTTTGTTGCAGTGATATTCAAAATAAAGAGGTAAGTTATCACCTTGCATTTTCTTCGTCTTATGTTGTCTTCAAACGAAGAGAGCAGGGACAAAAGTACTCTTTATGGCCTTTATATGCATGCAGTATCTGCTAAGGACTCTACAGCAGCTAAGAAGTGACAATGACATTGCTCAACAACTAGCCAAGTTTGTATCCTATTCTCTCTCTCTTTCATTTTCTTATACTAGCTAGAATGCAGATGATTAATGTATCCATGCTTGCCTCTTATTTTAATGTTCAATCATCGCTGCCCTAAAAAAGTCCATCGGCTATTAGCTCTGATATTGAGGTAATAAAACAGAACTACGCCTCTTTCATAACTTCAGGCTGTTTTCTAGTTCCATGTTTCATGACTTTTGTCAATGTTTTTTATTACAGGAACTACAGCAGGAAATTGGAAGGTTACAGCACCAGCTTCAAGTGGCAGAGGAACAGCTAAGGTCCTTAAGAACATTGAAAGCTTACAAACAAAAATTAACAATAAAAACTTTTCGTCTTTCGAGTAATTATCTTGCTAATACTTCCTTAAGAGCTCAAGAATGGAAAATAAGTTTTTATCTTACCCCACTTTCTCAAGGCAGCATATATAAATTTTAGACTGATACAGTACTGATACAGGACATATGAACCTGATCCTCTAAGGTTTACATCTATGGGGGAGCTAGAATCCTGCGAGAAACATCTTGTTGACACATTAACTTGTGTCCTGCAAAGAAAGGTAATTAAGAGCATCCCTATACATTTTTGTGTCTGTAATTCTTTTCCTCTCTAAGTTTAAGTGATGTAAATACCTAAATTATTGGATTGCAGGAATTTTTATTAAGCAACCATCTATCTTCTTATGATCCATCAGTTACACAGGTAATACTGCTAATAGAAGAAGCTTAGTAAATAAAAAGTCCTAACCTAACTACATTCAGTTTCAGTTCTAAAACTGAATATGAATTTCTTGGATTCACAGCAAGCCCTACCGGTATCTTTTGAGAATGAGGTTGTCAGTTGGTTGCCTGATGGCAGTCACAACCAAACCCAACTTTTTGATGCAGCTGCTTCTTTAAATCCATTCAGGTATTTTGCTCCACTATATCAATTAATCCCAAAACCTAAATTGCAGAATTTTGTCAATCCATATCCACTCCAAATTAAAAGATAATCAATATTTCCATGACTATAGAACACAAGTGATAGGGTGAGTGGACAGTGATCACCCCTCCACCCACTCCACCAAGGTTCTAGGCACTTTGGTGTCCCTTTCCGCCTTCCCCAAGTCCCAGAAAAGAAAAAAAAAAAATTCCATGACTACTACATATTGGCTGGCAATGCACACATTGCATGAGAATTTAAGCATCTATTTGTCTTAACAAATAAGAGTTTGAAATTCAGATTTTAAGTTGGAAATCTTAAGTTTAAAATTTGAAAATAGAAGCAAAACAATTTATTATATGGCTAATAATCAAAACCCTAAATCCTAATATTCAATTAAGCACTGTAATCCTTACAAAATATCACATTTGATTTAAGAATATTTATGAAATGGTAAATCAGTGAATGAATACTGACCCGATTGAGGTTATCATTTCTGACTACGAATGCATTTCGTTCCCTTGAAAAAGAGAGCTTTAATCACTGAAATTTAGCGATGATCATATTGTTAAGGGATCTTTCATCGACGGTGTATGAACAATTACTGCAAGCAGCCAACTCGAACATGGACCTACACAGCATCGACGAGTGCCACGCCACAAACCCAACCGGCGAAAGCTTCACAGCGTGGCCTTCGGCGTTCGCTTCCACTACGCTGCCACCACCGACCCTGTACTCTCCTCACGTCCAGGTTACCTCCCAATTCAGGAATTCATAATAATTCAATCTTTTTCTTATTTTGTTAAAAAAAAAGTAGTGACTCTAATTTATCAGCATCTAAATTAAAGTTTTTTTTTTTCAAAAAAAGCTTACCGGGCAGCAGCATGGGATGGACGTGGGCGCAGAGATACCGGAAATAATGCCGCAGGAGAAGGTGGAATTTCCGATGGCCGGCGGTGGACATGCAGAGGCGGATAAAGAAGATTCAAATTATGAGAACAGAATTGCTCAGCGTAATGGCAATGATCCATAACACATGCATAATGCCAATTCTTCATGCTTATGAAAGTTGTTTGTTTTAGTACTCAAAGATTTGTGTAAGAATCAAAATTAAGTGTATCCTGCAAAAATGTAACTTTGACTTCAATGATTTGTTTCAAATTCTTTAATTAGTCTTTACATCAGAAAATGTTAGAGATTAAACAGTACTATATTACTTGAGGAACCTTATTATATTGTAATTTTTTATTTTTTTGATGTATTTTAATATAATAATGACATGCAAATCATATAATAAAAGATTATTATGTAATTCAAAACTTACCAATTGTATAATTATGATAGACTTTATAATTATGATAGAAACATTAATTAATATATATTTTGACTTAATATATTGTATAATATATTTATTAAAAAATTATTATTTTTAATTTAAAAATTTAAAAATACAAAATTAAAACATAATCATATATACAATATGTAAAAACTAATTAAATTATCTATATTTATATTATATTTTAATTGTTAAACTAGATAATTATTTAAAAAGTGTTTTAAACTAAAGTTATACCAATTATTTTTCTATAATAACAAGAGAAGACTTATGCAAATTACCAAAAAAAATAGTGATATAAGAATAATTTTTTATATAATTTTCATATATATATATTATTAAATAAGTGAGTAAATTTATTATTATAAATTTTAAGTAAATAAAAAAAAATTATTTAATTGATATATATAAAATTATACTAAAAAAAATTAAAAAATTATTCTTAAGCTATTTTTTCATTAAAAATGACCTCTTTTCTTCTCTACTTCAGTGGCCTTGCTTTCTCCTTTTCGCCATCTAACTTGGATTACGTAAGATTACGTTAGATTTTTGGGAGGATCTTAACTTGGATTTCTTCACCCAACAAGATGTCTTAAAATTGCATCTTCCTTTTCTTTTCTTTTTTTTTTTTTATCCATTTTTTGCTTTTATTTTTTTGGCCCAGGAAAAATTTTCCATTTATTGCTTGAAATCCTTAATTCAAGAGTCAAAGACAAAACGGTTGAAAGAGGGAAAAGAGAAGAAAAACCAGAAATTTTTTTCACCGACCCAGCCTTTTTCTCCCACAATTTTTTTTTTAATAGAAATTTTGTCTCTTTTACAGGATAAAGGTCAACTCTCTGGATTTTAGTACTAGTAATGAAAAAGACATAAAACTCCCTAACAAGGAAAAGGCATTTTTGCATGGGGAAATAAGTGCTGAATCAATGAAAAGGTAGAGCCAGCCAAACAAAAGAGACTTGTTTTCCCTAAGAAATTCGAACCTGTATGTACTAAATCTCTGCCCTTAATTGAATCATGATACTACTACACACGGGCTAAGTTTTACATGAATTATCAGTCATTAATTTTATGTGAGAGAGATTAAGGAGGAGTAAGCTTCATTCAAATTCAATTAAGTCGAATACATAATGTTGTTAGAAGGTAGGAGTGAACTAGGATGAACTTTAATGGACACAAAATTATAAAGGGAAAGAAAGCATCTAAATTGACTTGATAACAGAAATAACGATAAATAATAATTTATGTCTGTATGTGAATCATTAACAAATTATCACGTGTATAATTACTGATAAATTATAATTATAATAAATTATTTTAGTGGATTCAATAACGGTATTAACGATAAATAATAATTCATATACATATATGAATAACTGGGAGATTGTCACGTTTGTAATTACCGATAAATTATAATCATTATCAATTTATCTTGGTGATAAAATAAATGTAACTCTTCCAGAAAAGAAAATAGCCAATTTTTGGAAAATAAGATTTTAGAAGTAAAGACTATCATGACCAATAAGTTTATGACAGATATTGAATATTCTCTTATAAATAAGCTTCCTAGGCGTCATTTTTGAGAACACCAAGAGGAATACTAGATAGTCTCCCTTTCTGTGCCTCTGATCTCTCTTCTCCTCCTTGCCCCAGGAAATCAACACACCATTCCTTTCTCTTTGTGCCTTCTCTTCACTTGGTCTCAAGAAATCAAATCAAAATGGGATAATTGTTCCATGGAAAAGTGAGTTGACTTTAACATTTCCTCCTCATTTTTTAATTGATTTTCCAGTTCTAGCTGTTTAATTTTATTAAGTGAAAATGATTCTTTTCTAGCTGTGAATTTTAATTCCGCCCCCCCCCCCCCTTTTGTTCATACAAGGCTTGATTTGTGCTTGGCTATTATTATTATTTTTCTTTATTTATTTATTTATTTTTTACATCTGATGCCTACTTGCTTATAAAAATTTTATCAAGCACCTTTAGGTGAATTCAAAATTCCAATTAAGGTTTAATTTTTTTAGAATTAAAATGTTAACAGAAGATTAATAATAAATTCTCCAAACAAAACACCCTTTTATGTGTGTTTTGTCCAAATGATTTCTGGAAGTCTCTCATCCCAGAGATTATTAACACCTCTTCTTTTTTTCTCTCTCCTTTTTTTTGTGTGTGATTTTTTGTTCTCTTTTATTTATTTATTTATTTATTTTGAGAAGGAAAGCGTTGCCTGATTTGATTTGAGGTTGATGAATCAGATCAGTGTGTACTTGAATCGCTTTTTCTACGCTCAACAGTTAAAATTAACAAACAATTTCCGCCGATATGCCCACAAGGAGTGTCTTGTGTCATCTCCATTGATAAAACCTTACTCAAGTTAGGGATTTTAAGTAAAAATCTTGAGAAAAGTTGGAGAATTTTTGAGAAAAGTAAAAATTATATTTTATTGTAGAAGATATCCATTAATTTTTTTTATTTAAATAATTTCTTAACATGTTAAATTTCATGATAAAGGCATATGAAAAGTGGGTCCACTACCATAAAATGTAACAGACTATAAAAATAATCAAGGATTATTTTCAACCACTTAATTTTGAAATAAAATAATATAAAAATGAGTACATAAGCATAATTAACACAGATTAACAACAACATTAGGATTTATATGTGCTAGCATGAAGTTCAACTTAACATATAACATGATTGATTATATAGTTTGTTTTGGACCAATATTAATTCTGCTATTTCTTGTCATTTGTTTCATGTACTTCAGATAAAAAGAAGTCTTCATATTTGTACTAGAAAGATGGAGGCTGATGATCCAAACACAGAAAAGGTGTCTAATAACCCCAACATGCAGAAGGTAAATCGGATGAAAGAAACCAATGTGAATTCCTCAAATGTAAGTAGCTAGACATGATGAACATTATTAATCTCTCTCTTTTACTATTCAAAAACTCTTAAAGTGACTTTGAAAGCTGTATATTAAAAAAAAAAAAATTTGTTTATAATGTTTGTCAGGAGAACAAAAATGGTGCAGCTTCTTTTCATAATAATAGTGAACTCTTCGAGCTTCCCCTCCTCGATCCAACACTAGACCTATTATCACCTGCAGCTTGGATTCCTCCAGTGACAAAAACACTCGAGCAGCCACAGGAAACAACAGTACCATACACACACTTTCCATTAATCTCCTCATTTCTGAACTTGTACCTTACTGGTAATATCTTAGCTTTGGTTGATACAGGAGGGTTTGGAACTCCAAGCTCCAGCTGATAAGGGAGAAGGCGAGAATCAATTGAATATTGTTTATGATCCTTCCCAACACAGATTTGCTGGCCTTGAGACCTTAGAACCTTGCAATGTTAGTGCTTCCAAGATTAACCACAACATTACTTTCCTACATTGTATAAAAATTATTACATCTTAATCTAGCACGGAGCTACATGTGATCATCTTACAGTTTAATATTTCTTTGACATTAAAGGTTTGCCTTAAGTAGCATATTCATTTTGTTTATGCCTCATTGATTTGCTTTATAAGTATGAGCAAGTTGGTAATTATTTTGATGAACAACCTTTGCCCTCAAATTTATTGGTAGTAATCAAACAAAATTTTCAATCAAATATTTTTGTATCTTTTTAGTTCCTTAAATTAGTGACTTGAAATTTCCTTCCCCCTTTCTTTGGTTGACAGCAGGAGCATTTGCAATTAGGATCATCAACTGGAAGAGATGAATCTTTTCTTGACCATGCAAACTCAAATCAAAACTTCAAGGAGTTAGCATTTCCTAGGTTTGAAGGCTCCAAGTCTTCATTTGGGGATGGCGCAGACACCCAACAAACAGAATTTTCCTTCTTTACTCCTACAATGCCAAACTTTTTGACACAGGTATATATGAATACCAATTTCGTTCGATAGACTTCATAAGATATAGTAGAACTAACTATTAGTATATATGTAATGGATATCTAACCTTTTTTCTTTCTTGAACAGCAAGAAAACATTCCAAAAAATGGAAATGATCAGCTTCAGATGCTTAACTCATGGAATGAGGTCAATTTAGCTAAACAAAATCAATTCTGTGGTCAATATGGTATTGGAAATACCTTCCATGTTGAGCAGCCATCGTATGTCAATGCATTTTCCTCTTCATTTTTCATTTTGTTCCTTTCCTACTTGCATCCATATTGAACATTTCAAAAAGAATATTTCTTCTTTTCATCGATATAGGTCTCAACAGATGAAAACACACAATCTAGGCAACAATACAGTGTTTTCTAATCAATTGGGAGCAGAAAATGTGACAAACATCAGTCTCAACAACAATGAGCAAGTAATCCCCTACCCTAATGCATTCCCTCACAGCTTTTTGAGTTTTTTTTTGGGTCATGATCTTAGTATAGCCCACCATGCATGCAAGCACATACATTCGTGCACACACACACACACACACACACACACACACATTCCCTTTTAATGACCTTGTTGAGTTTCCCTCAAGCAGACAACGGGGATGGGATTTCTAAATGGAAGATCAGCATATATCAACCAACAACCATTTAATACTTGGTTTTCTAACAACCAGAATGATCTTTCTAGGCCTTTGGCTCAACCAGGGTATGTGGTTTACCATCATTAGTATGTATAAAGTTTGAATGTATCTTTACACTGCACATCCACATGTTCTTACTTTTTCTAGAGGTTATGATTTTAGGTCGGAAATGTATCAATTCAAAGCAGCGAACAGTTTTGAACCCCATTCCAACTCAATGCTACTTGGATCTTCAATAGCTCTAAGGTACTTGTTATATAAATTTCGAAATTAATACACTATGTTTTTTACTGTATTCTAATTGATCTCCAAATTAGGCCCACAATTTTTAATAATCATCAACAACTTAATCAAACTCCAGTGATACCAAGTGTTTTAATTCACAGCTTCAGAACTCTATGCTACTTGAGCATTCTATGGCTACATTGTTTAGGTGTTTCATCTATCTATCTCTCTCTTTTTCCTCTTCCCTAAAATTGCTATAAGCATTAAAGGCCTTTCCTTGCTTTTTATTTAAGGCCTCAATGTTTTCCATAACAACATAGTTGAAGTCCCATTGGCACCTAGAGGATATTATGAGAACATGTTGCCTGAATTGTCTTTGTCTTTGAGGTGCTTGGATTTTCTATAAATTAAGAAGGAAAACTAGTGGATTAATATTAGCTTAACTTCATTTTATGGAATTAGGCCCCCAAAACAATATCAAGCAAATCAAGAACATAATGTAGTCAATCTGATGCAAAGCCAATTTGATCCAACCCATTTCAACCCCATGATGAAAGATCCTCTTTTGCTTTCCAGGTGCCCCCTCTGAGTACTCTTTCATATTAAATGAAACTAATTTTCATAATGTCACCTTTTTGCACTCATCATTTGTTAAACACTGCAGGATGCAACAGTTATCGAATGATCAGCAGATGATGCAGAACTTACCTAATTTACAGCACCATAGTTCGAAATTGCTAGGAACTCCTATATTTCCAGGTGCATCTGATGACCAACAGTTAAATCAAGCCTCTGGAGCACCTAATATGATGAATTTTTCATTCCAAAACTCTTTTCTTCACAACCGTTCCATGCCTTCTAGGTACGTAACTTAGTCTTTAGAGTTCTTTTTAGTAAGGTTTTTAAACCTAACTAAACTTTCTTTCTTTATAGGCTGCAAACTATACAAAATCAAGGATTGCAAAATCAAACAGGTAGACCAATTGCCTCATATCCCGGACCTGGAACTTCTCTATCAAATCTAATAATGGACTCATTAGCCCTTCAAGTAAGAAAAACTCAATCAAAAATTTCTTAGACATAGCATTTTTTCAAAGCATAATTAATTATCCATCAATCTTCTCTACAGGAAACCCCCAATTTCTACCCTGGACGATCATTTCCTCTGCAGATGAGGGAATCAACTAGCAACAAGGTGATGTGTGTGTGTAATCAACATCAATAATAGCATTTTTTTTTTCCACTGTAGACTCTTAGTCTTAGACCACTGAAAGCTTATATTTTCTCTTTTGGAAATGGTTTAGCAAGGGAGTGATGGACTACGAGGCCTTCCAAGGAGCAGAGTTGAATTGGGTGAATCATCATCACCATTCAAACGGTTCAGAGTATGAACTTATCTACCTACTTATATTTTTTAGTATCATTAAGCACATTCTGACCTAATCTTGGTTTGATCAAATGTAGGGAGAAACTAGTGGGACTCCTCAATTCCAGCAGAATGAGGCCACACATTCCAACCCTCTAAATTTTTTCCATCCAAGGTCTTCTTCACACATACTATTTCATTTACTTTTCAGTATCATCATACAATAGCTTTCTCCTAATCCAAACTAAAATGTGGCTTGCTTTCAGGCCTATGAGAAATTCAGTCTATGATCCAATGTATGAAGGGCTTGGACTTCCCATTGATCCCCATCTGAGACTATTTGAAAATTCAAACCACCGGCTTCTAGGTGATTGCTTTTTGCACCTAAACTGATCTTTACATTTCCTTTTCCCATTAAACATTTTTTTGACCTCATCTAAACTTACAGGGGCAAGTGTTAAAAAGCGGACAACTTTGGACTTGTAGGAGATACAATTATGGTTTCCTAATGGATCCTAGAAAGGGAGTGTTATGGTGTTGTTGTTTTTAGTAGGAAAGGAGTGTAATTTAATATATGTCTCAGTCAGAAACATGAAACCTTATTTCGTTTTTTTCTATTAATATAATTGCCTTGTTTAATAGACTTAACTATATAATCTATAGAATCTTGTTTCGGTCAGAAAAGCCATATGTTGATTTCCCCTCCCTTTTTCCTCCTAAACTATGATAAACAACATCAAGGCAAGTATTTAGATTGATGAATGAATTTCAGAAACAGAAACTAAACATGCATATAATTATTAGTAACAAACAGAAGTACATGAAAGCTGTAATGGGAAGCAAAAAAGAAACAAAATTGGTGGAAAAAATGCCATAATTATCAGCAAAAGGGAAGCTCAAGTATTCAACATATGGAGTATCTTTCTCCACTTCCAAAAATCCAAACTAAACAGTATTAATTTAATGTAATAGTGCAACAACAAAAGGTTATCCCATAAACATGGGGAAGAATCTAAAACCTGTCCAGAGAATTTCTCAGCTTGATCTTCATTTCCCTGCAGTCACTCTGTGATAGTTGCAATTTGAATAGGGGAGAAGTTATCTACTTTAATAGATTTGATTTGGTTAACAATATATCAACGGTGGAAACATTAGTGGATCTGTGGTGTCGTGGTATTGCTTCTGACTCTAGATTGAAGGTTGTGTGTTCGATTTGAACCTTTCTAAACCATAATTATGGATTTACCCCCATGTTTCTCCTTTTCTACTTCCTATATAGAGAGAATTGGATTTACAAAGATGGAAAATTGAAAATTTTCTTTCTGTTATTTCCTTTTATTTGTTTTCCCCACTAGGCATGGCACAATTAAATAGAAAAGGGGGGGGGGGGGAATTCCGCGAATAAATAGGAAAATAAATCATAATAAAAAAAAAGGATTTGAGAAAAAAATTCAAGGAATCCTCTTGTGATCAAGAAAAAGGCTTAACCCCTACTTATCCCTCTAATTTATAGCTTTGAAGGTTGTTGGCCACTATATAAAAATTTAAGAGTTTTAGCATGTTAATAATATAATTTAAGAGAATTTTACCTTATTTAATAGATGTACAACACATATAATTAGTTGATGTTATTTTTATCCTAGTCCATAATATATTAGCTTTTTTATCCCACATGACATATTATAGTGGCAGGACTTTAGATTTCCGTTTTGACATTTTTTTGTCTTTGTTTTTGTTTAATATAATAGGATGGAGTTTGAATTATACTTATCATTATCGTATTGTATTGATTGGTACATTTGGTATGTATCAATTTTTACATTAAACCAAAACAGTATATGGTCTAATTTCGTTTTGGCCAAATTTCATCCGTTTCGGTTAAATTTTGATGTGTTGATCGATATTTCGACATACCAGCCGGTACACGAAAAATGACAAGTACCACTCAACTCAAATTTTAAAATGGTAAATTTCATTTTTAGTCCTCAACTTTAATATTCTACATAATTTTCATCCTTTAATTTTTTATGTACTTTTTTAGTCCATTAACTATGAAAAATGTATTTTTTTAGTCCTTATATCAATTACTTCGTTAAGTTCGTCTAAATATACATATTTTTAGTCCCTTAACTTAAAGTGGATGGACGAAAAATATACATATATTAGAAGTTGAGGAACTAAAAATGGTCAGTTTAAACTTGTTTTTAATTTATAGAAATATGATGGTTTTAAACATTAATATCTCTTATTTTATTTTAAAATTTGATATTTAATTTATAAAAATATATATTTATAGCGATAAATCCAAAACGGTACGTGAAAAATTTTGGTATCCAGTATGTACCGTTCTAGTAATAAAATCAATATGCATGTCGATACAGTATTGACAACTTTGGTTTGAATTACATCAAGGGAGAGTTTTATATATGTTAATTGCTATGATGGCGGGCAGAATAGGATAGAAATGTTGATGCATCATTAACTAAGATAAAAATAATGTTTAATTAATGATATTCACATTAAATCTGTTAAATAAAAGAAAATTTCTCTAAATTATATTATTGAGGAATTAATACTTAAGTGGGGCTAATAATCTTAAAATGTATAAGTTAAAGGGCTAAATAGTGGTTAACCCTAAGAAGGAAGAAAATCAAGGTTAGCTTTTGACTTTTGAGGATGTTAGTACGCGGAAAATGGGCCCCACTAAAGTGCTTATATGGTAGCCAAGTCATTTCTTATTTATTATTGTAAATTAAAAATATCAAGTCGAAACAAATAAGGAAATATGCGTCAGAGCCTATCATTTAAGAGAATTTGGTAGGTTAGTTCCTCAAAAAAAAAAAAAAGAAGAGAATTTGGTAGGTTAGATATAAGAAACCACTGGGTTATTTGTATCTAGAAGAAAATGGGTAATTTGGAAGGTAAAAACCTACTTTTAGCCCTTCACTTTATAAAGTTTCAAAGTTTTAGCCACTTACCTTATATTATGATATTTTTAACCCCTCACCTTACTAGATTTACATGTTTTAATTCCTCACTTATTAAAATTGAAGAAAATAGCCCTTACTTTCTACTGACTGTTAACTCTGTTAACTGAAAGTAGATTTTTATCAACTAATAATCAATTAACAAAATTAATGAAATATTATAAAATTAATTATGTTAACTCTGTTAGCTGTCTGAAAGAAGGTGTTTAACAGCAAACAGTCAACTAACAGAATTAACAGTTAGTTAACAGAACTAACAAAATGTTACAAAGTGAGGGTTTTTTTCTTTAATTTTAATAGTTGAGGGGTTAAAAGTGTCATAATATAAGGTGAGGGGTTAAAAGTGTCATAATATAAGGTGAGGGGCTAAAAGTGTCATAGTATAAGGTGAGAGGCTAAAACTTACAAATCTAGTAAGGTGAGGGGCTAAAATGTCATTATATAAGGTGAGGGGCTAAAAGTGTCATAATATAAGGTGAGAGGCTAAAACTTACAAATCTAGTAAGGTGAGGGGCTAAAATGTCATTATATAAGATAAGGGGCTAAAACCTTTAAACTTGGCAAGGTGAGGGGCTAAAAGTAGGCTTTTGCCAAAAAATAGACTTTCCATTTAAACCATTCAAATTCATTCACTATACATGTTATTTTCATGGGCCCAAAAAAATTTTACTAGATTATGGAGATTTTTTGCCTTAACTTTACAAATATTTTAGTGATGGGTAGTTTAGTCATTCTAGGATGATAAAAATGGTGAGAAGATAGATTCAAAATGATATACAAAAAAAGTGAGATAAGAAAAATTCAAGAAAAATGAGCTTGAGTGCTCAAAGAGCACATCTTTCTCCACAATTTTTACATGAATAATTAATTACATGATCATTCAAATTTTATGAAGAATTCTAATGAACTAGCTTGTAGAGAGAATAATAATGTTGTAGGTTTGCTAATAACTTAAGTAATTTAGTAATAATTTTCTTTTGATAGAAGTAAGAGATTTTAAATTTAGGTTATATAATATGCAAGTGGTATGTGTTAAGAGATGAATAATTAATTAGATGATAATTCAAATTTTATGAAGAATTCTAATGAACTAGCTTGTAGAGAGAATAATAATGTTGTAGTTTTGTCAATAACTTAAATAATTTAGGAATAATTTTCTTTTGATAGAAATAAGAGATTTTAGATTTAAATTATATAATATACAAGTGTGGTGTGTGTTAAGAGATGAAAAAAATTATTTTTTATTATACAATTTAAAATTAAAAAATAATAATAATGTTGGAGTTATGAGAGGTAGTTAGTTACCACTGAGGGGTAATGATGTTATGATTTGGAAAAGTATAAAGAGACAAAAATAGAAGTATAAGCAATGATATCACGTGCAAGTGCTCTTACTTCTAATAACTAATTGATTTCCAATATAATAACTATTACGTACACACGTCGTTCATTCTAGTCTTCTTAAAAAAACAGTTTTAATTGAATCATGATGATGAAGAGAGTAATTCAAATTCAATGAAGATTTCTAAAGAAAATAACAAAAGATATACTTTTAAGATGTAGTAAGTTTAATTATAAACAAAAATATCTTTGATAGATAATACCATTATAATTTAATAATTAACCTAAAAAAGTGAGAAAAGATGAATGAGTTTAATTGTTATTGTAAATATCATTTATAGGTAACATAGTTATGATTTTATGATAAAAAAAACTATAACGGTTAAGTGAGTTTGATCATTATTACAAATATCGTTAACAGGTGATATCGTTATATATAACCATATAATCTAAAAAAATAGAAAGATGGAATGAATTTAATTATTAATGTAAATATTGTTACTAGGTAATACCATTATGATCCTATAATCTTAAAAAAAATGTATAAAAATACAGACATGAGCATTATTTTGTAATGTAGTTTTTTCTAATAACTAACCATTTCCAATCCCATAAATTTTCTTCTTTGATTTTCTAAGTAAAATTTCACAAATCCACAAGAGTGATAAAAATGTAAAATAGATACTTAACCAAACCCTAAGGCCCAAAATACCCTTGAAAGCATTGAAGAAATCAAGAAATTAATACCCCCCAAAAAAAAAAAAAAATCCAATTTCATGAGTGGCCCCTAAGCAAAATTAAGCATTTATGTCGACCTTCCATATTTGTATGCAGCTTGCCATGCATTGAACATTCCCCGTCTTCTCTTCTCCTATAAATTCATGCCTTTCCTCGCCTTTCTCTCCACCCCTTCACTTCTTATATCTCTTGAGCTCTATTCTCTCTTCCATCCTTGCCTCCTTCATTTCAACATGGCCGACGACGATGACATGTTCCCTGAATTCCCAGCTGACCTCAAGATAGAAAACATTGAGTTCGCTCTTAAATCACAGCCTCTAACGTTAAAATCTATGTTTTATTATATTTTCTCTCGACTAATCTTGTTTTTCCTTGAATTTTCAGGGTGCAGAATCCTCCGGAAACTGGTATTATTCAGTCATACGGGTAATCTTATTCAAGTCCCTATCATTCTTTTCTATGATTATCTATATATACTCAGAAAACACGCTGAGATTTGAACTCTTAATCTCTTTTGCTTTTCTTCATATTCAGTTCAATTGAACCTCCACCTGATTTCGTCAGACCTGATGACGATGAAGAAATTGAAGATGATGAAGATCCAGACGACGAAGATGCTTTCTCCAACAATTCTTCTGATGATGATTCTGATGACTCAGACGAAAAGTCTGTGAATGAAGATACAGAATTGGAGGACGCAAAAACTACTGCACAAGATGATCAGGTGATTTTCATCTACTGTTTCTCTCTCTGAAAATTATTAATCCCACAGAGCTTAATTAATTAATTATGTAAAACAGGAAGCACGTCTGAATCTACTCGCGCAAGTTCAACAGGAGCTAGAAGTCCTCGTATTAATTAAACGGTTATTTCCTTTTCCTTTTCTTATGCATAAATTATATTCAAAATTAAGAAAAATTAAGACGTTGAATATTTAAAATGATAGAATAATAAAAAATAAAAATATTTAAATAAATTAATATAAAAAATATTTGAATATTTTTAAAATGAATTTAAATATTAAAATGTTAAGATTTTCACTTTTTCTCATTATATTTTCAACAATAATAATAACTTCTTTTTTTTTTTTTTTTTTCATTTTTTGGCATGTGATCTGATTCGTGTGTATATGTTGGCCTTGGTGAAATGGAAGACAGGGCGCAGGTAATGCTAACTAAGGCGAAAAATCATCTACATAATAATTACAAAAAATTTCTTGCTCTATTAATATAGTTTTTTCCGCAAATTTTCAGCTCATTCGTCAGCAGTTATACAACCTTCTTCGACTCCTCCAATTCCTTGACTCCCTGAAAGGGGTTTGTTCTTAAGCCATTTGTTAATAAAATTTTGATATTCTCAATTTCTGGTTTAAGGGCTCTCTTGTTTATTAATTATTACGTGTTTTTACTGATGCAGCTTTGAGTCCAACTGGTTGGTGATGGAGAGAAGTACGAAAAAAAACCTTTGCTGTTGCGGTTATGTAGCAAGGGAAAAAGAAAGATTGTGTTTCTCTCAGTTTTGTTTGCTTCAAGATTTGTATGTTGTCACAGAGAAGAGATTCATCTCCTTTGACTTTCATTTATTGTTTTGATTTTCAAGTTTCAAGCTGTTGTTTCTGAGCCTGGAAAAGGCATATCTTCAACCTAATAAAACTTCCTTTCATATGTGTTTTATTATTATTATTATTATTTTACTCTCAATCTCACAAATATCATTTTTATTCGTCCATTCATCTGCACTATTCCATCTAATATATATGCTTAGAAATTGGGAAAGATAAGTACTGAAATCATTCGGCCAAAAAAAAAAAGTACTAAAATGATCAGGTTGCGAAGAATTATCAGAAGGACTGGATGGCAGATGACATACAATTGGTACTGAAATAATTTTGTCACAATATAAAGATTATAGATTTTCAATCAAAATAAAACAATTTAAAGTCGCGGCTATGAGGGTTCAGTATGTCATTCAACAATACGTTTTATTTCCCTGAAAAAGCAAGAAAGATTAGTAAGTATCTAATGATGTTCAAATTCTAATCCATAAAGCTAAATCAGAGCTAATACATGCCTAAGGGAAACAGATCACATTCAGTTCCCACGTACAGTATACACATACATCACCTCTAAACAGAATGCCTACAAACAAACCATAAAAATAACAATTTGGAAAATGATATGTTTACCCAATGAACCAATACACTGCCCACACACTCGCAGTTCAGGAAAATAAAAATTTACTCGAGATATGTCTTATCCTTAGCTTGTCCAGAATAGACGGTGTGAATTCAACACATGAGACTTAGGGTGAAGAAAAGGAGCTCTGCAAGAAATCTAATTATTATAGAACATTCTCTTTTGATTATGTTCACATTGCTATGATTATATTCACATTATAATTGATTTACATAATTAGATTAATTGACTTTGTACTACATAATATTTTCTTGTACATGTCTATAAATAGGCACTTTGTATATTCAAATTAATCAAGAAAAAGTATCATTTTTCTTCATATTTCTTCATATTTTTCTCTCCTACCTTGTTTTCTCACATGGTATCAGAGCAGTTGAGCTCTTTTACCTCTTTTCACTTTTTGATTTTTTGCTTCTGGTTTGTGCCGGCAGTATTGTGATATATTGCTGTTTTTGTCCAGTATTGTTTCGGGTTTCTTGTTTTTGCTTCAATTGTGTTCAATGTTTCTGGCCAACATTGTGCGTTCAGAATTGCTTTCTGGTAGCTAGCTGTTACTGCCCAGATCTGCATCAGTCTCTTTTTGATTCGGTCAGATTTCTTTACATAATATCTTTGTTTTTTCATGGAGAAATATGATATTTCACCCCCAATTTCAACTACTCTCAATGGCTCAAATTACATACTCTAGGCTCAAAGTATGCGCAGTTTTTTAAAGGATCGAAAATTATGGCGGTATATTACTGGTGACATTACACTTCCACAAAAGGTTGCTAATGAGACAGATAAGAAGTATGTTGACCATCTAGAGGATTGGGACAACAAAAATCATCAGATCATCACTTGGTTTCGCAACACCTCAATTCCTTCCATTCACCTTCAGTTTGGACGGTATGAAACAACTAAGGAAGTGTGGGATTTGCTTGTAGCAAGGTATACCACTTTTGATTTATCTAGTCAATATCAATTGTGGGAAGAGTTACACAATTTGAAACAAGAACAAGGCGAGTCCATTACTAGTTTTTATGCTAAGATGGAGGCTATTTGGGATCAGCTTGCTCTCTCAGAACCCACTTTCAATGACACTACTAATATTGGGAAGTACATTGAGTATCATGACAAAATGAGATTAATTCAATTTCTTATGGAACTTACTGATGATTTTGAATCATGTAGAGCCTCTCTATTGCATTAGTCTCCTTTACCTACCTTGGATAGTGCTCTCTCACAATTATTATTTGCTGAACTCGTCTGGGCTTACTTAAGCCTCAATGAGATAATATTGTGGCTGCAGCTATTAATAAGTTTCTTTCGAGTAAGAGAGGATAGAAGCATTGTTGTCACTACAACAACTACAAACATGCTATATATGAATGTAGTCTAGTAAAATGTCATAAATGCAAGTCAAAAGGCCATATTGCTCCTAATTGTACTACTCCACTACCTCAAAGATCTGATCTGTGGAAGACCCAATCAAAGCCTGATCAGTCTTCCAAGCCTGTGGTTGCTGCAGCTGTTGCCAATGAGGATACCTTAGTCCATCCTTCAATTGGTAATCTAGAGACTCTTCTTAGACAAATGATATCATCTTCCTCTACATCTACTACCTTGCCTACCATCCCAAGTAAAGTTTCTTGGATTTTTTGACTCTGGTTGTTGCAACCATATGACTTCAAACTTTAAACTTTGTTCTACATTAACCCTTAATACTATCGCACCTACAATCCATACTGCTGATGATTCACAAATGCAAGTTAGCCGATATAGTCAAGTTTCTACTTCTACCCTTACCTTATCAAACACTTTCCTAATACCAAAACTTACTTTCAATCTTATTTCTGTGGGATAACTGTGTGAACTTGGTCTTGAACAAATATTTTCTACTCATGGTTGTCGTGTGCAGGATTTATAAACGAGACATATTCTTGGGACAAGCCGTAAAGTTAGACGATTGTTTGAGCTCACCTTCTTACACATCTCTTCTAGTTACATTTCCCAGTTGTGTGCAGTCTCAACATCTTCCTCTTGACACTTGTGGCATCTTTGTCTTGGTCATGCCTTTATTAGTAAACTTCATCCTTTAATTCAAAATGGGTCTTTAGGTTCTGTTAAAAAAGAGTCTTTACATTGTGTCTCATGTCAAGTTGCTAAACAGCCTGCTTTATCTTTTAATAAAAATGATTCCATTTCACTTGCACCTTTTGATTTAGTACATTTTGACATATGGGGGCCATCTCCCACTCCTACCATGGTGGTTCAAAATATTTTGTGTTGTTTGTTGATGATTATTCTCACTTCACTTGGCTATATTTGATGAAGAAATGCTCAGAATTACCTCAAATTTACTTTGAGTTTGCTAATATGATAAAGACTCAATTCTCTAAAACTATCAAAGTCTCAAGGACTGATAATGCTCTTGAATATCTTGATTCTAAATTTCAGTCTTTCTTAAAGAGCAGGGCACAATACAACAAAGATCTTGTCCATATACCTCTCAACAGAATGGGTAGGTTGAGCATAAACATCGATATATTTTGGACTTAGTTTGTGCTTTCCCGATTTCCTCTTCATGTCCTAAGCGTTTTTGGGGTGAAGCTGCACTTACAACAGTTTATGTCATAAATCGAGTCCCATCCATCGTCACACAAAATAAATTTCCCTATGAGTGTCTCTACGATATTCTTCCTGCCTTTGATATTCTTAAAATTTTTGGCTGTGCTTGTTTTGTTCTTTTACCTTTTCATGAACATCACAAGTTAGAGCCTCGAGCTCGACTTTGTTGTTTTTTGGGGTATGGGATACAACATAAAGGTTATCGTTGTTGGGATCCAATATCACAAAAACTCCGTGTCTCTTGTCATGTTGTTTTTTGGGAACATACTATGTTTGCTTCTCTTTCTGAATTCAAGGTGTCTCCTTCTCATCAAACTCCTATCCTTACTAATCCATCCCTTAGTTATTTTCTAGTGATGATGTAGGGTCTCCTGATGAGCTTTCAAATGATCAAACTACCACGGCTCCTTTTTCAAAAGATGTCTCTTTTGCGGATATTGCACTTGGAACAAATGAGATTGAAAATTCACCAGTTGCTTCCTCTTCCAGTCATCCTACTCGGCTAAGAAATCCACCTACATATCTTCAAGATTACCATTGTTTTTCTGCACTTACCTCTTTACATGAACCTCAGTCCTACAACGAAGCTTCTTTAGATCCTCTGTGGCAACAAGCTATGAAAGAGGAATTATAGGCTTTGGAAAAGATAGGTACTTGGGACTTGGTTGATCTTCCTATGGATAAGGCTCTTGTTGGATGCAAGTGGGTATACAAGATCAAAACTCATTCTAATGGATCTGTGGAGCATTATAAGGCATGCTTGGTGGCAAAGGGTTTTACACAAGAATATGGCATTGACTATGAAGAGACCTTTGCTCCTATTGCTTGTCTTACCATAGTACGTAGTCTACTAGCTATTGTTGTTGTACGTAAATGGAAGTTGTTTCAGATGGATGTGAAGAATGCCTTTCTTAATGGTGATTTGGAAGAGAAGGTTTATATGAAACCGCCTCTTGGACTTACTCATCCTCCGAATAAGGTATGTTGATTGCGACGAGCCTTATATGGTTATGGTTTAAAACAGTCTCCTCGAGCTTGGTTTGCAAAATTCAATTTTACTGTAAGTGAGTTTGGTTTCACATCTAGTCCACATGATACTACTTTAGTTGTCCGTAAATTTGCCCAGGGAATGGTTCTTTTACTCATATATGTTGATGATATGATTATTACGGGAGATGATGTTTCAGGGATTGATGAGCTTAAGCAGTTTCTCAGCCACAGAATTGAGATGAAAGACCTTGGCTCTTTGAGTTATTTTTTAGGACTTGAAGTTACATCCCTAGATGATGGCTATCTTCTCTCTCAAGTGAAATATGCATTAGATCTCATATCTAAAGCTGGTTTCATTGATAGCAAGATTGTCTCCACACCTCTTGAACCAAACATCAAACTCACATCATTAGATGGCTCTCCACTTCCTGACCCTACTCGTTATCGATAGTTGGTTGGGAGTTTGGTTTATCTTACTACGACACATCCAGACATAGCATATGCAGTTCATGTTGTTAGTCAGTTTATGGCTGCTCCCCATTCCACTCATTATGCTGCTGTACTTCGTATTATTCGCTATGTTAAGGGAACACTATTCCATGGACTTCACTTCTCAACTCATTCCTCTCTTGTACTTTGTGCATATTCAGACGCTGATTGGGCTGGTGATCTTACAAATCGAAGATCCACTACTGGCTATTGTCTCTTTCTTGGTAACTCTCTTATTTCATGATGTAGTAAGAAACAAGCTATTCCATCTCACTTTAGTACTAAGGTTGAATACAAAGCTTTGGGTGACACCACTTCAGAACTTCCTTCCTTACAATGGCTCTTGGATGATATGGGTGTTTTCCAACCATCTTCTACTGATCTTTACTGTGACAATCAAAGTGCTATGCAGATTGCTCACAATGATGTTTTCCATGAACGTACAAAACATATTGAGGTCAATTGTCATTTTATTCAATATCATGTTGCCAAAGGAACTGTCCATCTAGTCTTCATTGGCTTTGTTGATCAACCTACGGATCTCTTCACTAAGGCTCATTTTCTTGGACACTTTCGCACTCTTCTTTCCAAACTCAAGCTGGTCTCCTCATCACCACCTTGAGTTTGAAGGGGATATTACAGAATATTCTCTCTTGATTATGTTCACATTGCTATGATTATATTCACATTATAATTGATTTACATAATTAGATTAATTGATTTTGTACTGCAAAATATTCTCTTTTACAGACCTATAAATAGGCACTTTGTATATTCAAATGAATCAAGAAAAAGTATCATTTTTCTTCACATTTTTCTCTCCTACCTTGTTTTCTCACACCAACGAACCCACGAAATTCACTTTTTGGCTATAATCCGAATCAAGTTCCACACTTACAATCTTGTTGACTTAAGGCTCTTATGCCATTGCCCAAATTTAGTGAACCCATGCAACATCGATGCTCTCGATTGACTGAATGCAAAGTCTAGTGCTGATCGTGAAGGGAAAGTATGAAATAGGCAATGAGTGAGTTGAATCACCTCCACCTTCATCAATTGCCCATCTACGAATCCTTACAGTAAACTCTAATCAACCAAAACCCAATCTCCCTAATTAACAACTTTGAAATCATAAAGTCGTAAGCTAAAGCTATGCCATATTGTCCATCTGTGTAGATCAACGTTGAAAATCAAATAAGAGAAAAGAAGATGGAAGCTAATACAAGCTTCTTCAAAGACCCTTGAGCTAACAAGCCTAGCAGTCCATTCTCACTTACCTGAAAGGATTCGAAGCTGATGACCATAGTCAACCAGATCCCCTTCTCTCTATCTTCAATTGGAGCATCTACATGCAAATAATCGAACATTTGCAATATGCAAAAGGAGAGAAGAAGAAGGTAATATGCTTTGCTTGTCTCTCTTCTATGGTAAGACCTCTATTTCTAGTCTATTTGATAATGAGAATAGACAATGTCTATGTCAATAATTACCGAGTCCAGTGTTTTGGTCTCCTATTCCAAACCAGACTAATAAAACATATTTTATGAGATGCATCCTTTCAAGTGTTAAACCAATAGGTGCATCTATTAATATCCGTTTAAATTATCAAAAACCTAAAAAAAAAAGAACAAAACCATAAAAGACGAAATTAGAACCCACAACGTAGAACATGAAGGGCCACAGCC